TACTTACACTTTGTGTGAGATCAAATTGTCAAATATCAATTATATGTTTTTCACAAACATACAACTTATCATCAGGATCTTCTTGATCACGCTTCATCTTTAGATGTTGTTTAAGCAATAGGTTGTAGGATTGCGAAGAATACCCCTGTGTGGTTTTGTTGGTCAAGCTCGAAGGCAAGGTCGCCCTGATCGCTGGCGACGCGAGCGGCATCATCGAGTGCACGGCCAAGCTGTTCGCCCAACATGGGGGGGCGCGAGTCGTGATCACGGACATCAAGGATGACGAGGGCCACTCTCGCTGTGCCACCCTTGACCCCGCCTCCTACAGCCACTGCGAGTGATCAATGAGTCCAGCACGCCATCGACCCCACCATCTTGAAAATTGGTCCCCTCGATCAATTATGGACTCTTCGATGGGAGACCTCCCAAGTGATGTTTGGTTTATAACTATTGGGAAGGAAGATTTTGGATTTGATCTCGTTGCCTTTGAGCACATTAAAAAAAAAAGAATAATAATAATAATGATAACACGGGCATGAGAAGAAATTGGATAATGGCCGACTTTTGATGGCATGTGCTCCTCCTGATTGGATCATATATTCTCTGCAGACACTCGAGGAGTGCATCACACAATACAGCAACCTAGCAATATACTAAGATGGGAAGCACCTCCATTCTCTCATCAATAGTAAGAAGGTCTCTGTTTTTGCCACTATCACAATCTTTTTGTCTTATTCTCTCTTTGTTTATGTATGTAATTTAGACTTTTGATCAGTAAGGTTTAGTGTTCTTGAACCTGCTTCATCTTAGATGTTGTTTAGACGATAGGTTTGTGGTTCTGCAATCCCTTGCCAGGAATACCTCTGAGTTGATCTGTTGCACAGGCTCGAAGGCAAGGTCTCCCTGATCACCGGCGGCGCCAGCGGCATCGGCGAGTGCACGGCCAAGCTGTTCTCCCAACATGGGGGGCGCGAGTCGTGATTGATGGGGATATAAACAGGAATAACCTTTGTATAGGAACAAATACTAGAAGACCAAAATACGCAGCGGAATAAAATGGAAACACAATCAAACGGAACACCAAGATATACGTGGAAAACCCCTTCAATGTGAAGGGTAAAAACCATGGGGCAAACTAGAGATAATCCACTATGAGAATAATGAATGTACAAATCTCAATCTCTTGCCCAAAACCCTAGTAACAACCACAAGAGAATAACTGGGATACAAGGATCACGTCACTGCCCACAATATCTAAACCTCCCAAGTAATCACAGCAAGAGCCTACTGTAGATTTGATCTAACCTGAGATGAGAACACTGCTAGATGATTGAGAACAGTCTCTTTGTGTTGTCCTTATCTTCTTCCCTTTCTTTCTCTTCTTTTTCTGTCTTGTTCTCCTTTTTCTGTTTGGAATCTCATGGCTCCAAGATCTGCCTCGTTGCTGCCTTTTTATAGCTTTAATCTGCCTCGTTGCTGCCTTTTTATAGCTTTAATTTGCCTCTAAAACACAATCACTATACTCCCTAATCTTAATTAGGGTTAGGTTAAGAGAGGGTATGGGTTGTGAGCTAATAAAGCCTACATGAACTGAATATGGGCCATCATCCAACAGTGATCAAGGACATCAAGGATGACGAGGGCCACTCTCGCTGCGCCACCCTTGACCCCGCCTCCTACAGCCACTGCGAGTGATCAATGAGTCCAGCACGCCATCGACCCCACCATCTTGAAAATTGGTCCCCTCGATCAATTATGGACTCTTCGATGGGAGACCTCCCAAGTGATGTTTGGTTTATAACTATTGGGAAGGAAGATTTTGGATTTGATCTCGTTGCCTTTGAGCACATTAAAAAAATAAAGAATAATAATAATAATGATAACACGGGCATGAGAAGAAATTGGATAATGGCCGACTTTTGATGGCATGTGCTCCTCCTGATTGGATCATATATTCTCTGCCGACACTCGAGGAGTGCATCACACAATACAGCAACCTAGCAATATCCTAAGATGGGAAGCACCTCCATTCTCTCATCAATAGTAAGAAGGTCTCTGTTTTTGCCACTATCACAATCTTTTTTTCTTATTCTCTCTTTGTTTATGTATGTGATTTAGACTTTTGATCAGTTAGGTTTAGTGTTCTTGAACCTGCTTCATCTTAGATGTTGTTTAGACGATAGGTTTGTGGTTCTGCAATCGCTTGCCAGGAATACCTCTGAGTTGATCTGTTGCGCAGGCTCGAAGGCAAGGTCGCCCTGATCACCGGCGGCGCCAGCGGCATCGGCGAGTGCACGGCCAAGCTGTTCGCCCAACATGGGGCGCGAGTCGTGGTCGTGGACATCCAGGACGACAAGGGCCACTCTCTCTGTGCCGACCTTGGTCCCGCCGTCGCCTCCTACGTCCACTGCGACGTCACCATTGAGGCCGACGTCAAGCACGCCGTCGACACCGCCGTCTCCCTCCATGGGAAGCTCGACATCATGTTCAACAACGCGGGCGTCGTCGACGATTTGAGCAGTGGCTTCCTCAACTGCGAGAAGTCGGCCTTCGAG